CCATTAACTGCTCTGTGCTTCAGACAAACCTCTTTCTTTTATTCCCCTGAACAAGGCAGGTTTGAATTCCTTTTTTTTTTTTTTTTTTTAGGACATGGCTGTTGCCTGAGCTGGAGTACAGTGGAATTCACAAGAGCTACCCACTACGAATCAGCTTGGGAGTTTTGGTCTGCTTTGTTTCAGACCTAGGCTAGTTCATACTTTTTCAGGCAACCTGATGGTCCCTCACTCCCAGGAGCTAACCATATTGATGATGAATTTAGCGCAGATACCTGATCAACATAGCATACCTCAGATCAGACTGCTTGGGCTCAAGCAAGCTGCTTGCCTTAGCCTCCCAAGTAGCTGGGACTACAGGTGTACACCACTGCACCCAGCTGGAGTCTTCTTTGCGAACATCAGAAGCCACATTCCCACCAGCTTAAACCAAAAAGGAAATTTCTAGCTCACCCAGCTGGGAGAGGCACTAGACAAAAACTGGGACATACATCTCTAACACTCCTTTTCCTTGTCTTTGCCTGAATTCTTGCAGGCAGGCTCTATTCCAGGTAGCAGAGAAAGTGGCCATTTGCAGCCTAAACTCAGATTTGGAAAGAGGATTTCTCTCTCTCAGTGTCATTATATTCATCTCAGAGACGATTTGGGGAGGCGGGAATCCAGGGGTCAGCATTTGGAGTGCAATAGGTAAGGTCACATTTGGAGTGCAATGGATAAGTCTTGCCCTGGGAAAACCACCTTTGTGACCATAGTATCTCCCCTGCCAGGTAAGTATTCAGAGAAGATTTTGATAGATCCTGTTTGGTCCTGGCCAGACCTATGTCCTATAGTGGGAAGTGGGTTGTGTTATCAGGAGAAGAAGAATGGGAAACTAGGTGGGCAGACAAAATAATAATATTCACAGTACCTACAATGCCTAAGGGTTTCATGATGTGTGTGTATGTGTAGGAGGAAGAGAGCCCTGGAAATAGAGTGCAAGGGTGACCAGAACCAGGCTTTGCCTACTCATATAGTTATGATTATTATTAGGTCTAAGACATTTGGCTCCTTATATATGTCAGGCTCTGTGTTAGGCTAAGTATATGTTACATGTGTTATTTTCATCAGCTCTCATTCTCACAACAGTCCCAGGACATAGGTGTTATTCTTTCTGTTTTAAAAGTAAAGAGATTGAGGTGAAGGTTACACAGGAAGTACCTGAGCCAGACTGAAACTTGGGCCCTTCTGTCCATATTTTTGCCCAAGGTCAGGCTGCCTCTTCAGAAACCAAGGCAGAAACTTGACAGATGGTTGCTGAGACCACACTCTGAGGCCCAGCAGGTGTGTACCAAGGCTTTCATGCTCCTCCCAGCTGCATGCTTCCTCAGCAACCTTGTCCTATAGGCTCTCCCTCACCAATGGAGATAAGCAAACCACTGGCTGTAATCTGTGGGCTTCTTCACTTCTCAGAGTGAAAGGAATGGTACTTCTTTTTTTTTTTTTTTTTGAGATTGAGTCACACTTTCTCACCCTCAGTAGAGTGTCATGGCATCCTAGCTCACAGCAACCTCAAACCCTTGAGCTCAAGTGATTCTCTTGTCTCAGCCTCCCAAGTAACTAGGACTGCAGGTGCCTGTCACAATGCCCTGCTATTTTTAGAGACAGTGTCTCGCTCTTGCTCAGAGTGGCCTCGAATTCCTGAGCTCAAGCAATCTACCTAGAGTGCTCAGCCTTCTAGAGTGCTAGGATTACAGGTGTGAGCCAATGCACCTGACCCAAAGAACTGGCACTTCTCAAAGACTTGGTCTACCAGTTGTTGACCCTGCCTATAATTTTCTAGAGTCTGGCTTGCTGATTGAGAGAAAATGGGGATTGGGTGCTTGGAGGGACACTGGCATGTTGAACCTAGAGGTGGCATCTCTTGACTGAATTATGGGACTAGCTGCAGCTCTTAACTGTTCTCCCTGCCTCTGTGAGGCCCCTCTGGCCCATTTGTATAACTAGAGTGACACTCCTCAAATACCACCACTCACCCACCCTGCTCAAAATTCAGGGGCCCTGGGGCCACACTCCTTCTGGAGGCTTTCTAGGCTCTTCCAGAACTAGCCCCTGCAGACTTCTCCAGCTCCCACCACTGCCCACTCACACTTAGGAAGGCAAGAGAGTTGAAATAATACAATAGTCACTAGTCATCTGTGGCTATTTAAATTAATTTTAAAACAATTAAATTACTAATTAATAATTCAGTCCCTCAGTCACATTAGTCACATTTCGAGTGCTCAATAACCTCTTGTGACTGGTGGTTACTGTACTGGACACTGCAGACGGAGAATGTTTCTATCATCATAGAAAGTTCCATTGGACAGCACTGGATTAGACTTTTCCATTAACAAAGGGGGGCCTGATAAGGGAATGTTATCAGCTTTAGAGGAATCCAGGATAGATTTGACCTGTTTATTTTTTATTTTATTTATTTATTTTTTTGAATCAGAGTCTCAAGCTGTTGCCCTGGGTAAAGTGCCATGGTATCAGCTCATAGCAACCTCCAACTCAGGCTCAAGTGATCCACTTGCCTCAGTTTTTTTATTTTTTAGTAGAGACGGGGTGGGGTAGGGTGTCTCACTTTTGCTCAGGTTGGTCTCAAACTCATGAGCTCAAGCAATCCACCCGTGTTGGCCTCCCAGAGTGCTAGTATTACAGGCATGAGTCACCACACCCGGCTAGGTTTGACCTGTTTAAATGGGGAACATTTCAACAAATATTTGCCACCTGCTATATTGCAAGCCCCAATACACAATAGTGGGCAGGGGTAGCTAGTTGGTCCCAGAAGTAAGGAGGCAGTTGCTACTGGGTGCTCTTGCCCTAAGTACTTGAGCCCAGACTGGGGCAGTGAGGAAGGCCCCTGGGAAAGGAGACATCTACCTACAGGCGTGCAATCTGAAGGGACACCAGACAGACAGAGCTGCTCTCCTGGCCATGCCCCCTTTTGCCTTTAAGTACCCTAATTACAAACTGTTCCCCACTGCCAAGACTCCTTCTCTCTTTTCCCCCAGGCAGGAAAGGAATGGAGGCAATTCCTTGAAGTCAGTCCCCAGCTGGGACAAACAGAGAGTCCCTGTTGGGCCATTAATTCTAGAGCTCAGGGCTGTGGCCTCTACTCCTCCACACAGGCCTTGTGGCTTCAGGGTTAGGTAAATTCAGGGCTCAGTAAAGATAGGCCCTAGAGCCTCTGTGGCCAGGGAGTAGAAAGCTCCTTCAGGCCCAGCTGGAGACGTCAAGTTCCCCCCTCGGCCCCTCAGCCCCAGCCTGGGAGAACCAAGCTGGGGAAGGAGAGAGGTCTCACTCCGGGCTAGAGGGAACCACAGCTGGCTGGGCTAGTGGGGCTGAGGGAGTATCTTGGGATCTCCTATCCTACTGCTCCTTTTAGAGGTGGCAGGTTGCTAATTCCTGCTTAGAGACACACACAGCAGTGTCCCTGCCACCCTCCTCCACTCTCCCCACCGCTTCATGCCAGCAGCCCTATCCCCTGCCTCTTCCCCGCGCCCAGGCAGAACCAACTTCTCAGCAGCGACTTTAACAGTGACAGCTAATTGACCCAAATTCGGAGCACCCCTCAATCACCCTTTTACGCGCTAAGCTTCCTAACTCAAGGACGATTACGTAGGGACGATTATCTTCCTCTCTGTCACAGATGAGGAAATTAAGGTTCCGAGAGGGTTATCTGCCAGGGCCAGCAGTGACGGTGGTGACCGTCAACGCCCCACAGCCCAGTCTAGACCCGCCCCCGCCGCCGTCCCCATCTCCCCGGGCTCCCACACCTCGTTGCCGGCTCGAGCAGGGGGTAGGGTGGGCCGGGGCCGGGCCCTCGGTGCCAGCCGAGCGAGTGCGAGGCGGCCCAGACCCGCCCTTTGTTTCCCTATGCTGGCGGCTTCTGCAAAGTCACGGTCACATGGCGCTTCGGGCACGGGGTGTTCCGGGCGCCGCTCCAGGGCTCAGGGACGCCCCCGCCCCTCGGCCCTGTCCCAGTGGCCTGACTCCCTCCGCCCGTCTGCAGGCCGGGAGCCTGTGTCGAAGCTCCAGGAGCGTCCTCTCCACTTCCCACCACCCTCAAGCTCCAGCCCGAAGTCCCATATTCTCTGATCGCCACTGTTCAGCCTTCCCTAGCTTTTGATCCTAGCCTGGTGCATCCAGATCCAGTTGCTTCCTGGGGTTCGATGTTTACCCTACTCCATAAGACGCCAAGTACTCCCAGTCAGACTCTTGTCAACCCTTGGTGAACAATGTGCAGTATATAGGTGTTGTACAAGTAGTTAATGGACTCCATTCTTTCATTAAACAGAGTGGCAGGCTCAGCGCTGAGCCTCCCTCCTTTCCCTGCCCCAACCCCCACAAACAAAACAAAATCAGTCACCACCTAGTCTGGCCTCCCTCCTGGGCACAGACCATCTAAGGGCAAAACACAGTGGAGTAAATACCGGATGGCCCTTTCTGCCCTGGCCTGTGATGCAGCCACCACTACCCACTAGTGTGTAGTGGGACACTTGAGAATCGTGGAGCCTCATGTAGGACATCTCTGCTTCACTTATCAGATCCAAGAATTCATTCAATAAACGTTTATTGAAAGCAACCATGGACAGGGTAGCCCAGTCCCTTCCAGAGTATGCTAACTCCCAAGAGAATGCAAGAAGATTCTCTCTGCTGTCCAGTGGTGCCCTGTAGCTCCTGCAGTGCCCTGGGGCTCTGCTTCTCTGACTAGGCTGACCCCTCTAGACCACCACCATATCTTCACCCAGAGCTGTGAGGGAGAACAGGCTGGGAATGGGGTCCCAGCCTGGGGATGTAGCAGGGAGGCCAGTGCCAGGCTCTGGGTTAGGTCTCAAAGACCCTTCTTTTCTCTGGGCAGTCTTTCCCAGTGCCTGTTGTTGAGGTCTGCAGGGATTGGGGTGAGGGATGGGGAGGTACCAGAGTGGTAGAGCTGGGGAGAGCCCAAGGAAGGGTGGGCAGGGGAGAAAGCTTTGGGGCCAAAGGCAGTTGTGTACATCTCTGAGGCATCAGGGCTTGGTAGGGAAGAGCAGACAGGTGAGCCCCCGGCTGCCGCTGTGTCTGTCCACAAGGGGCAGGGGATGCTGCATGTAGTGCTGGACCATGGCGGCCACGGAGGAGAACAGCTGGTCAGGGAGACAGAGTGTAGGGAGCCCCTTGAGCCTCATGCTGGGGCAACTTCCTGAGGCAACAATGGGTCTCTGGCAAGGAGGCCTATTGACATTTTTCTAGTTATCTTGCTTCCTGTTTGCCCCATGAAGCTCCACTACAATTTTGTTGCCTGATTCTAAGCAAGTTTCTTGCTACTGCACCTGTGAGCACACTGTTGGTCACATTCATATTTCCAAGGCTAGATTAAAATAACTTTAAGGCCAGGCATCTGCCCTGCTCCTCCAGGCTGGAGAGCTAAATGGTAGGTGATTTGACTTGTAGCCCAGCAAATGCTAGGTGCAAGGTTGAGTCCCTGGGTATGTAGACAAGAGGCTGGGCTGCCTGGACCCTGCCCTTCTACTAGCTGGGTTCATTATAGTTACAAATGCCCCCACCTCTACTCCATAAAGATTAAGCAACAGCAAGAGGGGAATACCTCCCCTAAAGCAGGGTGGGCCTCTTCCCAAAGTGCCCGGTGTCTGGGAAGGAGTTCAGGGTCTGGCCTGTCATTTTTAACACCCCAGAAAGACACAAAATGTGGGTCTTTTCTTAGGCAAATGCTCTTGGCTGGGTCCAGGTTGCTGCTCTGCTGCAGTCTCCTTGCCTAACTTGCCCCACCTCCTCTAGCACCTACCTCCTCATGGTTCCTGCCCTCCCGGCCCAGGGCATACTGGTGCCTGCCATCCAGCCACCGGATAGGAATGTTGAAGACACGGCCTCTCAGGAGCACTGCCAGGGTGAAGGCCTGGGAGCCATGAGGCCCTGAACTGGGGCGCACAGTGTAGGCCCCATCCTGTGGAGGAGAACCCCAGATGTAAACCTGTCTCCCAAATGCCCATGCACAGCCCTGCACCTAAGAACCTCCAGCCTCCTGCTCCCTGTTACTCAGCCAGCCACAGCCGGTGAGCAGAAGGGATTTCAGAGAAGGCCCAGGGGTCTGAGGCTGCCCACCTTTTGTAAGCAGAGCAGGGCACTCTCCACAGCATGACGGTCACTGTTCTCTGAGTACCAAGGTTGAGCCAGCAGGTTGCTGTCCTGTATACACATACAGGCGGCCACTCAGAGATGTGCCAGGGTACTGGGTCAGGCCTGGGGAGCTGAGAACCCCTGGGTTGCAGTTATCTGTGTTTGTCTCTATTTTCCTTGACTGAGTCCCAGAAGAGAACAAAAGATCCTGCATTTGTGTATGTGTTTGTGTGTGTGTGTGAGAGAGAGATACTGTCCCTTAAGGTGGTGGACATTCAGGCTCTGCTCCCCTCAGGCTTCCTACCCAGCCTACTCCCAGCCCCTCCTCACCTCCGCTGCTGAGGTGCACCCAGTAGGGGCTGCAAAGTTAAGAGACGGTCTCTTACCTGCTGGAAGAAGCAAGTTATAGAAATAGGCAAGGGGACAGGAGATGGCAAAGGAGGCTTCTGGAGGAGAACTGTGGGGGGATGGAAGGGTGTGCATAGGCCTGATGTCCAAAGCAGGGTACCCAATGCTCCTCCACTGTCTAAGTCTGGTGCCCTGGTGTGACCTCCAAATGAGAAGCGATCTTGGGGCACAAAGAGGGAACTTCCTGATTTAGTGCAGACCCTGGAAAATGCCCAAGAGAGTCCCCTCTGACCAGAGCTCAGCTACAGTCAGAGCTGTAGGGATCCCTGCAGCAAAGCGGGGCCTATGGACCTGGGAGGGAGCCTGTGACCTGCAGGGCTGGGGCCAGGCAAGACTGCCCACATTCATGCTGAAGATGTCTGTACTCACCTTTACAGGCAGCATTCGCTGCTCCCTGGGACACAGGAAGGTTAGTCAGAAAATGCTGGGTTCTGTGGGCCTGCCGCCCAGGCCTGAAGTCCCACCCTGAGCCTACTACCCCACCTCCCTCAATCCCTCCCTTTTCCCCTGATCACCAGCCTCTTACATTCTGAGCTTCCTGGGGGGCTATGGTGGGCCTGTGGGAGCAAAATTGGGGGGACAGAGCTCAGGGTCTTTATTTATCTCTTTTGAAAGAGTCCAGCAGACCCAGCATCCCAAGCTGTCCCTGTCACCATGGTCAGCAACCTAGGACAGTGCAGGAGAGCCCAACCGTGGGTCAGGCCTGGGGAAGCCTGAGTGTGCATGTCTCATGGGACACTCACCTGGACACTACTGATGTCCTTGGCAGAGGGACTGGGGGCATCAGGACTTGAGAGGTTAGAGTCTGAGTCAGGGCTGGGACTGAAATAGAGCGGGTAGGCAAGGTTTGGCTGGGCACCAGGCAGGGAAGTCCATGCTGGCCAGGGCAGGGCTGAGGACAGCTGCAGGGCCCTCTGCAGCCTGGGTTTTCTGGGAGCTCTTCCAGCCAGAGAGAGATGCTGTCCTGGCCACAGCATCGGGGAAGCCCCATCCAGCCCTTGCTCTCAGGGAGGGTCACCTTCCATGTAAGCACAATGTGCTCAACCTGGACCTAGGGCAGGAGTGTGGCTGTCTATGGCATCCAAAGGCAAATGCAAGTTGGTGAGGGTGGTGAGAGGAAACAAGGGAAGATGATGGTGCCAGGAGAGTATGTTGTTTCTGTGAGCAGCTGAGGGTCTCAGGGGCAGGATGGGTCTGGAGTTGAGGAAGGTACTCACCTGGGTTGGGCTCACACTCCAGGTAGATGTCCTCATCAGGAGGACCTGGCACCTGAGATAGTGAGGGGTGAGTGGGACCATGGGTTTGACCTGCCTTTGGAAATCTCTGCCCCAAACAGTGATGGGGTGCTGGGGGCAAAGCCACAGATTTGGAGGGCAGCTCTGAACACCTCACTCCTTCCTTGCTTCCTCTTTCTGGGAGTCAACTAGAATGATTAAAATTTCTCCTCTGCCTAGGAAGTGCCTTCAGGGGTGTCCATAGGCCCCAGCTATCAGAGAAGGTGGGGGTTAAGTTGGAGTCCTGAGCAGTCCCCCTAGGACAACTGGCTTACACCTGCCAGGGGCTTGTGGCAGAGGGGAGGGGCTCTTCCCTGGGCCTTTTCCTTTGGTTTCAAGGATGTCTCCAAGGACTTTCCTGGTCCCCCACCCCATCCCTGCCAACTTCCTAATCAGAACCCCAGACTAGAATGTAAAGTGGAGATGGAGGGGCTGCTCACCACTCTGGATGGTGTACCCCACTCTGGAAGGAAAAGGAGAGAACCACCTGTTACAAGCAGCAGCGAGCAGAAAGGAATTCAGTGAAACTTAGTTGGAAGAGTAGAGTGTTCTTGGAACTTCTCTGAGGAGGGGATCCTCAAAGCCTGCTCTGAAGCTCAGGAGAAAACCTTCCTGATCCCCTGATCATTTTCTTCACAACCCTGTGGTGTTGCCTGTCTCAGCTTCCAAACTGATTTGCCAGGCTTGGCTGCAGATGTCATTGGGCTGTTCCAAAATCAAAGCCATCCTCAAGGTCATGAAGGTTTACCAACCAACTGAGTGTAGTGAAAATGAATGTGCATCAGGTTAGCTGCTCTACTTTGGACAGGTGGAGGCTACCTCTCCCGGAGCCTCTTTTGGACCAAAACATATTGGCTGAGGTCCCTCCTTGTCCTGATATGCAGGGTTCTGGGGCTATAGTCTCTGGACAGTGGTAGCCAGTAATGACATGGATGGAATCAGAGACAGATCGGTGGGCCAAGGGGGCCTCTGTGATGGGGGATGGCATACATAGTGAGGACCTTCAGGCAGAATAAGCTGCCTTTTAGACTTCTTTATTGTGGAGGTGTCCTTCCCCTGACCCAGAGATCACACCTGGTACAGAAAAGGACCTGAGGTTCTGGGACTCTGTTGTGTGACCTCAGGTATAGCATTTCATGTCTGTGGGACTCAGTTTCCTCATTTGTTTCATAGGAGGCAATGCTACCTGGACTGCCACTTCAGAGACTAGCAAGTAAAAAGGAGGCCCAGCTGGGGTGTGCAATGAAGGAATGAAGGGCAGAGGAGGGGACCCCATATCAGGCAAGGACAATTCTACCCCATGGGGGAGGACTCCTCTTCCCCAGGGGAGCCATGGAAAGAGAGGGGACATCCCTTTTACCTTTCCTCCCAAAGCTGGGTCTCTTCTTTGTGGCCACCTGCAGGCTTGTGGCTGCCTTCAGCTGCGGGTAAAATGGGGCCAGTGAGGGAGAATGGGGGGAGCTAAGGCATCTGAGGACAGGGATAGTGGGGTAGGGTGGGGCTGTATGTTTGTGGAGCTTAAAAACACCAACACGACAACACAAAAGGAGATATGCAAAAAGGAGAACTCCCCTTTGCCTCTACTTTGTGGCTCTTTACTGTGAATCTCTCCTCTTTTTTTTGTTTTTAATTCCAATGAGTTATGGGATAAAGTGGTAGCTTTCCAAGTCCCTATCTGGGATCAAGGTGGGCATGGGAGCTGGCAGGGACTGCAGGAGAACAAAGGATTTCTTCACTTTCTCGTCAGGAAGGGGGTCCTCAGGCCCAGAGTCCAGGGCAGGGGCAGCTGAGCCTGTCCCCTGCACGCCTCACTGGCAGCTCAAGTGAGAAAGGTAAGTTGGCAGAGCCACTGACTCTGGACAGTGGTAGCCAGTAATGCACCCCCACCCTTGGCTTGAGTGACAGCTCAGCCTTCTGAGTATCTGATTGTTCAGGGGCCTCTTGAATGCAAATGTGGGGGGATCTTGCAAATGAGATGCCTCTAAGATTCACTCACAGGGAAATGGCAGCTGGGGGTGGGATGGGTGGGGAAGGAGGGACTTGTGAGTAGGTCTCTGGCTGTGGTGGGCTGAGGCAGGTGTGGCGATGGCTTGGATGAGCCTGAGGGGCCACAGCAATCTGGAAAAGACCCCACATGTCATGAATTGGTGGCTTCCTCCCGTGTAGGTTCCCATTGTCCTCCTGCCCCCACCTAGCCTTGCTCCACTTCCTCCTCCCTCCTTCCCTTCCAAACACTCATTGGCTTCCTGACAGCCCTGTCTCCATGGCAACTGGAGGCGGCCAGCTTCCCTGCCCCCACCTGGCTGAGGAGCTGTGGGGGTGGGATGCCAGTGGCAGCCGGGGCTCTCCCTGCACCCCCGCCCTTGGCCTGAAGAAGTAGAAGGATGTTGGAGAGGGAACACCAGGCCCCAGGGACTCTTGGGCCTCCTGCCATCTTGCTGTTGCCTTGGTTACACCGCCTGGCCCTTCTCTCTCCTCCCACTCTTCCTCCTTCTGCCCTCCCTCCTTTCCTCCATCCCCTCTCTCTCCCCAGCAGAGAGGCCCCGTGACTGCCAGCTGGAGAGACTGCCTCCCCTCACTGCCCCAGTGCAGGCAGAGGGAGGAGAGGCAGAGCCTGTGCTCTCTTGTTCTGTGGGGCTCTCCTGCCCTGCCCAAGCATTCAGTACCCTCCAACTTCCCAGCGCTCACCCAGGTACAAGGAGTCCTCCTCAGTGCCAGGAAGGTGGGCAGGGGCCAGACTGAGGGGCTGAGCTTCACAGGGGGGCAGCTCATATTTATCCTCTTCATCCTCTTCTTCTTCCTGGGCCTTCAAGAAAGGATGCTGGCACAGAGGGCACAGAGGGCACAGAGGGTAGAGGACTTCAAGCCGAGGAGGGCCGGCTGCCTCCCCGACCCTATCCTCAGCAACTGAACTTACCCTGTGTCTCCAGGTCCTTGGAGCAGGCAGAGGAGATGGGCTGGGGGCATCTTCCTTCCAAGCTGGGAAGTCTGGACAGACAGCCTACTCTCACCTCCTCCCAGCCCTCCCCCCTCCAGTACAATGCCTCACTCTTTCCCCAGTGTAATAACCATCTGCACTTGACAGTGGGCTTTGACACTTCAACTCAAAGGAACCATTCATGATGGGCATTTCCAACTCTGCAGCAGGGCCAATAGGGTAGGTGTTTTGGAAACAAGGGGACCTCCTACCTAGCTGCCTATTCCACCTCTGCCAATCCCCTACCCCCACACCCTGATTCTGAACAGCTAGGCCCCAGCCACATAGCAGTGCTGCACTACGGTGGGCAGAAGGTGTCCAGAGCCACTCATGGGAGAGTCAACTTGTGGGGGGACCCCAGTCTGCTGGGCTCCTCTAGCCCACTGTGTCACTTACCTATGCATCTTGGGGGTGGGAGGGGTGGCTCCAGCCTGTGAACAGATTCTAGTCAACTCTGCCCCAGGGGCCCTTGAGTTTCTGTTAGTCAGATGCTGTGTTAGACACTCATATCTGGTCTATGATAGTGTGAATGACAGAGGCCCTAGGACCAGGGCCACAGGAGGAGGCAGCTGGGGACAGAGCTAGTGCCTGTGGGGCACAGCTGCATGAGCCAGTGCCCCCAGGGAAGCCAGAAGAGAGGAGCCCTAGTGCTGATGGGGGTGGAGCACATGAATGGACCCAGTGGGCAGGAATGGCACAGGCAGACCCAGCACAGTTACCAGGCCCAGGAAAAGAAGGTAGGGGAGAGGTGGAGACAAGAGAAGAAAGCAGGAGAGAGGAGCTCCAGTACTCACCGGGCTTTGTTCCCACTGAACTTGTCCTGGAAAGAGCCAGGGAGGGGAGTAGAAGGGTGGTCAGAGCAGCGGTCTCCCTGCCCAGAGTCTTGGCTGCACCCCACTCTCTGGGATAGGCAGATAGATGTGTGCCCTTGGAGTTGCCCCAGGACAAATCTCACCATGGCAGAAACAGAGGACCTCTGCTCTGGAGCTCAGGATCTGCCACAAATGGCCTAGGGACAGGGCTCTTATTGTTCCCATTATTTGCATCTCCTAAGCACCAGGAAGGTGGGCCTGCTATGGCCTTCAACCCCAGACCAACCTCATCCACTTCCATGATACTCCCAGGGCCCAACCCTATCTCTCCCCAGCCTTCCCTTCACCAGCCGCCCACAGCTGTGCCCGCCAGGAGGAAGAGCTAAGCTGATCCAGGGCTCACAGGCTGCTTCTAGCTCTCTGATGAACATCATAAGCAACAGTAATAGGCAGATAATTAAAAACAGGTGACTATCCTTGCAGACATTTTTCTTAAACCCTTTATTCCTGTTGTCATTTGTTGGTGAGTGGCAATCAATGATAAAGGAAATGGGCTTGGCGCCTGTGGTTCAAGCGGCTAAGGCGCCAGCCACATACACCTAAAGTGGTGGGTTCGAATCCAGCCCAGGCCTGCAAAACAACAATGACGGCTGCAACCAAAAAATAGCCGGGCGTTGTGGCGGGCGCCTGT